ACATCTAATCCCGTGTTCTATTCACTAGATCATATTACCACTTTTCTTTTTCTGAAGCAGTTTCATTGAAATGTAGTAGAACAGTACAGATCTGGGGAATGCCATGAGCTTCACTGAGCCTGCAAAATTTAAGCTTTATTTAAAAACACTGACTTTACAGCTGTTAGAACTGTTGAAACAAACCTTCCCAACACGCACCAAATGCTGCACCAAGCCTTTTTAGACAGAGTGCCTGAAACACTAGGTATGAACACGCCATCTATTGGTCTAGCTTCATACGAGCCTTATCTGCACTAGAAAATGTTGCATAATACTGAGTGTTGCTACATCTCTTTTAAAAATGGTTTAAATTCTAGTACAAACCAAATTCTTTCCCACGTCAGTTCAGACAAGTGAGATTCAGACCTTGTGGAAGGTAATAACATTTGCATCAGTGTTTAAAGAAGGTGTGAAGTTATTGGACTCTGATATGAACATGCAAAACATTGTTGTATGTTTGTACCAAATTTTGTGCAAAATGGACTGAGTGAGGTAACTATTGAAAGATAATCATCTGCTGATTCTGTTTACATTATTCATAGGCATGTATGATTTTTGTATCTGAATTAATAAGAGAAGATTACTCACCTTGTGCAGTAACTGAAGGTCTTCGAGGAGTGTCCCTGTGGGTGCTCCACCTTCAGTGTTTGGGCGCCGCTGAGCGCCTAGTCGGAGATTTTTGGTAACAGTGCTCTCCGGTGGACTGTGCGCATGGCGCAGATGCCATGCGCAGTGCCTCTACTATGCATGCGGGTGCCTCTACTACCATCCCTTCAGTTCCTTCTCTGCTCCGGAAGGAGAATCTAGCAGACCGAAGCAGAGGGGAGGAAGGGAGGATGGTGGAGCACCCACAGAGACAACCATCTCGAAGAACCTCAGTTACTGCACAAGTTGAGTAACCCTCTCTTCTTCAAGCAGTATCACTGTGGGTGCTCCACCTTAGGTGACTACAAGCAGTACCTGTGAAGGAGGCGGCTGCTTCCGTTAGGTGGTATTGTGCACCGTGTTAAGGACAGAATGTCCGAAGCGAGTACCGTTAGAAGGGTGACTGTCCAGGAAGTGTGGGCAGAGGACCATGATGCCACTCTACAGATGTCCACTAGAGGGATACCGTGCATAAAGGCCATGGAGGGCAAGGTGGCCCTAGTGGAGTGTGCTCTGAGTTGTAAAGGAGGTGGCTGTCCATCTACTTAGATATCCTCTAAGTGGAGATCAGTATGCCGATAGACCTCTCCGTGGTGATGAACAATCTATTTGTTTTGCAAAGTTGTTTAGTTCTAAGTAAAAGGCAATCGCCCGACGTGTGTGAAGAGTGTGTAGCATGGCTTCACTCGCATTGGAGTGAGGTTTTGGGAAAAATACAGATACGTTTATGGGCTCATTACAATGACAATGTGTGGAAACTTATGGGAGGAACTTTGGGTAGGGACAGAGAACAACCTTATATTTGTGAAATGTGGTGAATGGGGAGTGTTCCATGAGAGCCCCAATCTCACTAACTCTCCTAGGAGATGTCAACGCTATCAGCAGGGTGACCTTCATGGAGAGATGATGCATGGAGCATGTTGCCAAAGGTTTGAATGGTTTCATTGTGAGAGCCTGTAAAACCAGGTTCAGGTCCCAGGCAGGAGCAGGGGGCCTGTGAGGAGGGTAAGTGTTTTGTATACCCCTCTAGAATCGCTCAGTCATGGGATGAGCAAAAACCGACTTACTATCAATAGGTTGATGAAGAGCTGTTACGGCTGCAAGATGGACCTTAAAAGAGCTGAGCAATAGGCCTGAGTCTTTCAGCTCTCGTATATATTATACAATGATATTCAGAGGAACTGTGGTTGGTTCCAGCTGCCGCTGCTCTGTACTTCATGAAAACCTGTGCCATTTGCAAAGGTAAGATTTTCTAGTTGATGTTCTGCGATTGTTGAGTAAGATCTGCTGTACTTGTTCTGAGCAGGATGTCTCTAGTGTGGTGAGCCATTGAGGAACCAAGCATGGAGGTAGAGTGCCTTTCTCTGGGATGGGCCCCCCTGTTCCTGGGTCAGGAAGTGAGGAAGGAGTAAGAGACACCATGGTCGTTTTGTGGACATGAGAGTCAGATAAGTGTACCAACTTTGTCTCGCCCAGTCCGGGGCACTAAGCATTACTGCTGGTGATTCCAATCTGATTTTGTTGAACACTTGGTGGATGAGTGTGCACGTAAACAGTACCATGGGTACTTATTTTTGGCATTGGTTGCAAACAAGTCCACCTTGGGGAACCCCCAGGGAATAAAGAGGTGGTGTAGAATCGATGGATTCACTTCCCATTCATGGTCGAATTTGAAGTTCCTGATGAAGCTGTTGGCTGTGAGATAATCTTTTCCCAGGAGACAGGGTATATGTTGTGTGCTATGCATCATGTCCAGAAGCGGACAGCCTCACTGCATAACAGGTAGGATCTAGCATCCCCTTGTCTGTTGATATAAAATGTTGTTGCCTGATTGTTTATAAGGATCTGAACTGTACACTTCTGTATCCGATGTAGGAAGTGTTGGCGTGTAGAATACCGCTCTGAGTTCCAGAATGTTTATGTGGAGGGTGGATTCCTGATGCGACCATAGTTAGGTGCTGCCGGTGCATCTCTGTGGTGCATCTTCGACTTAGCCTTTTTAGAAGCCGAATCAGAAGCAGCCAGTGCCGACTTGGACTTATCTGGCTTTGGACTTGTCCACCCTGTCAGGCAGCTTTGCCAGGACCTAAAGCCCTTGGGAGCCATGGTCAGATGATGGTCCCAGTACCTCCCTGTCCGGGCCCTTGAGTGGGTCGGTGCAGGAGGTATTTTAGGTGTTTGCCCCCAACAATGGCAGAGAAGGAACTGATGGGATGGTGGGCTGGACATGCAGAGTAGAAGCACAGCACATGCCGTCTGCTCTGCATGCAGCCCACCGGCGAGCACTGCTACCAAAAACCTTCAGCTAGGCGCACAGCAGCACCCAAACACTGAAGGTGGAGCACCCACAGGGACACTCCTCGAAGAATTAGTATTGGCTATATACTTGTATTTCAAATGTTTGCTTCTGGGAGATATTAACAGGCTTTGCCCATCTATTGAGAAAGGGTTGCCCTGAAGTGAATAGCAGCATTTCACTGACAATGCTCCTCAAGTGGTGCCAATCCATATCTGAGGAACTTTGCTGTGAACATTCAAACCAGCAGGTAAGCAATGGCTGCTCAGGACTGAGTCACTTCTGGACAGCTCATGTGACAAACACCATTTCTGGAGGAATTTTTACACAGTAAGAATAATGGAATTCCCTCCATATGGCAAGATTATTAAAAGGACCATAGAGGTTTCTCCATTTGTCTTCACTCTAGTTCGTCACTTCAGGAGCATCTTTGTTATGAACTGAGCCTGGAAGGACTGATGGCTTATCGTAACATAGGATGTATTCCGGACTTTTAAGGAAGCAGTTTATTCCACCCTGGTAAGAGCCCACACCAGGAACTTTGTAACAGGTGTATGTAATTTGTTTCCTTTAACAATCTTACTTTCAACCTTTTCTTTCTTTCTTTTATTAATAAGCTTTTAGATTCTAAAGGATAGGCACAGCATACTCTTTTGGGTAGATCTGAGGTATAAATTGACCTAGGAATGTGGCTGGTCATTTGGGATCAGAAGAAGTTGTTTGGATTTGGTATGATTTCTTGCTTGTCAGGGTGGTGAACAGAAGTGCTCTTTATGACAGGTTTTGAGCCTTAGAGAGGAGGGTCCCCAGCTGTGGGCTGGAAGTAGCCCTGTTTCTAAACAATTTACCCTGATTTGACCTCTCAGTGGTGCTCTCAGAACCTTTATATTACAGAAAGTGCTAGAAGTGATCCTATCCTGTGAATTACACACTAATTAGCCTCAGCCAGGAAGGAGATAAAATGGTTAAACTAGAAACATAAGCCACTTGGATGAACTTGAGTATCACAGGGAATATCTAGCATGCTTTCAGCAAAGAAAAATCATGTTTCATGACTCTCTTAGAATGGGCCAGTTAAACAAGAAGTATAAATAATGGATAAAGAAGAACTGGTTGACTGTTCATTGGACTTTCAAAAAGTTACTGATAAAAGCTCCATAAAAGGTTATTAAAGAAATGTCAGTTATCATGGGTTGAGAGGTAAACAGCTGCCACCAATTAAAAACTGGCTAAGATTTAGAAAAGATCAATTTGCATGATGGCCAAAGGGCCCTGTGCTTCCACACTTTGCTGGTGCAATTTAAGAACATAAGAATGGCCATGCTGGGTCAGACCAAAGGTCCATCTAGCCCTAAGTCCTGTCTGCCAACAGTGGCCAATGCCAGGTGCCCCAGAGGGAGTGAACCGAACAGGGACTGATCAAGCGATCTTTCTCCTGCTATCCATCTCCACCCTCTGACAAACAGAGACTAGGGACACCATTTGGTGGAGTTCTGATCTTTTCTGTAAGGCTACATCTACACTGCAATACTATTTTGGGATACTGAATTATCCCGAAATAACTATCTCCCATCTTCACAGCAAGCCCATTATTTCAGGATCACTATTCTGACGTCTCCGTAAACCTCATTCCACGAGGAGTAAGGAACGTTTCGGAACAGCGGGTTATTTCAAATTATGAAATAAGCTATTTTGAAATAAGATCAAAGTAAGATCATGCAATTTGCATAGCTGAGATTGCGGCTCTTATTTTGAGCTACGGTGCAGTGTAGACGCACCCTAACTGATCTTTACCCACCAGCCACTTCCCTCTTGCTGGTACTTCATTGAGACTTACATGCTGACAAGTCCTGCTCCACCTGTGTTTCCCTTATTATTCTCTAGTCCCCCCAAGCCACAGATTCCCTTGTTTCCTCTGTCCCTTCTCCCATTCCTGAGCTGCTGGCAAAGAACGTCTGCAAAGTTTACCAGGCAGAAATAACAGAGTAAAACAAAAATATCATTTAGATGTAGTCAAGCATTATATTAATAGAAGTGTAGAGTTTTATCAATGGCCATTGTAGACTTACTCAAACATTTTAATATTGAATGCCAATATTTGTTTACAGTTCTGACTTGGCAGAGTTATAGGCTGAAAGAAGACATTTCTGCTTTTCTAAGTACATTAGCACTTCATTACAGCCAGTGGCTTTTCAGTTATGAGGAATGTTGGAAGTTTGATTGCACTACCTCTCTTCCTCACATGGAATTTCAGCTGAATTTTACAGAAACATTTTTGGTTTCCTGATAACAGTACATAGCAATCAAAGGCCTATAAATAGTGATGGATTAAAAAGAAAGCCACTGTGCTAAGTGCTCCATAGGCAGTCACATTTAGAAGACATAGGATGCTGCTCTACAAGGAGACATACCCTGCCGTTTGTTGTGATGTGAAAATTCTGGATTGCTTCTTTTGTCAGATTTGTGCCACCAATAACATCAAGCTCTTGCAGATGCTCCATTTTAGCCAAGCTCAACAAGATATTGTCAGTCAAAAGAAAACCACTGGGGATGAAAAACAGATGGTAGTTAGAGCCTCAGAGGGTGTTACAAACACAGTACAGATGAGCAAAGGGAATTATATGTCTTCCCCATCACATGAACAGGGCTTTTCGGCCAGCTCACCACTACTCAAAAGCACAGATTCTCCACAACAGCTGGATGAGCTGCCCTACCTGCCCACCACTTCCAAAGCTAGGGAGAGGGGGAAAACTCTCTGCTTACCCTTGGCTGGAAGAATGAAAATGGCAGCCTACTATGCCTGGATATCACTATCTAGAAACTAGTGCATTAGAAAGTCTTCCTTGGGGAAGGAATATTGAGAGGCCACATTTCTATTACAGGCAGTCCCCGGGTTACGTACAAGATAGGGACTGTAGGTTTGTTCTTAAGTTGAATTTGTATGCAAGTCGGAACTGGTACATATTGTAGGGGAAACTCTAGCCAAACATTTCTCCAGAGCTCAGTTTTATTCTCCCACACCTCACTTTCCTCAGTCCTTTATTCTCAAGCTGAGGTGTCTGCTGAGAAAAGCCGCTCTGCGTCTCCCTGGTTTGCTGGGGGGGGGGGGGGCTAGCTTCGCGTCTCCCTGGTCTGCTGGGGGGAAGCAGCTAGTGCGGGGTTCCCTCACCCCGTTTGTAAGTAGGGATCCGATGTAAGTCGGATCCATGTAACCCGGGGACTGCCTGTATCTAATCAGAGATTGTGGCTCTGCCTGCCCTAATTTCTGCTGATCACTTCCCTGCTGGGGTCTTCAGTTTTTGGCTACCCAGCATCATCCCAGAGTTGCTAGTGCTGGTATTGTACACTCCTCACCCTGTCTTTAAGACAGAAACCCTTCTATGCTCTTTAGGAGTCAGCTAACGAGCTCAATAGCTATCACAACGTTGGGTTCAATAATATCAACTCACCTCCCACTCATGTCTCCCTGTATATTTAAGGATAAGGAAATGAGGCCAAGTTTCTCATGCCCACAATTCTTTAGCACTTGTGAGAGAAGAAACACTTGTCCCTGTTACTGATTACCTAACTATTAGCTTTACTGGCATAGGTGAGGGAAATATCTCCTCTGCTCTTTCCACCCTCTCCCTTGAATACACTCGGCTGAACCTGATGGGCTAGAAGCAAAGGCCTGTCTACATGATAAATGGAACCAAAATACTGAATGCAACTACATTTTACACCTGTAATTATTGCAGTTCAAGCCTGTGTATTGATAATCTTATTTCTGAATGAATTGATTTCTTTTTTTACTGAATTTTTAAAATAGGGAACTTCACACACAAACTTGAACTGAAATGGCCAGAAGGTCTGAATTACAACCTAGTTAGTGATTTCACTCCATTTACTGCACAAATAACTCCCAGAATATACAAAACAGGGTAAGTAAAGACTTCTTCCTTCCCTCTTACTTACTCACTATGTGCTGCCTCTTTATTCAGCTTTATAGGGGTATTAACTGCAACTACATCAACCAGTTTATTGAAAACATTGGTTCAAAAACCTCAGTGCATATCACAGACAAATTTTAATGGAGTACGGTGTGTTTTTTTCATTCTTCACAGTTTGTGTCACGTTGTTTGGTCATACCTAAGACAGAGTCTTGTCAGCTGTGGAAAGAGATGGGGAAATTCTTTCAGAATCTTTTCATCAAATCCATATGAGAGGGTTAGATCCATTTCTCTTAGCTTCCAGGATTTATTAGACAAACAGCTGAGCGCAGAGTTTGAGAGCTTGGTTCCGATCACTCTTAGTTTAGCAACGCTGGAAGGAATGTTATTGACAATCCTATCCAAATTGGAGATCCCTTTAAAAACATACATGGGCACAAAATTGAAAGACATTTATCACTTTTTGCTTCATAATATTTTTTCAAAGTATCAGATTTTTTTTTAAAAAAAAGCAAACTGTCTATATATATAATCTTTTAGCACAATGGTGGGCAATTATTTTTAAAGGGGGGGCCACGTGCCAGCCTGGAATGGGCAGGGCCTTGGGCAAAAGCGGCAGGGCTCTTAAATAGAAATAAGTGAAAGGTCTCACTCCTCCTGGGTCACACGAGCGCGTCTTCCCTGTGGCTGCCAGGCAACATGTTAGCGGACACAGAGAAGGCACAAGTCCTTTAAATAGAAGCAGTTGAAAGGGCTCCCAGCCCCCAGACATGTTGGCTGGGAGCTGCCAGGAAGGGACGAGCCCTTTCAAATGCTTCTATTTAAAGGGCTTGCACCCGCGGGGCAGCTGTTAATGTGTTGCCTGGCAGCCTAGCAGGAGGTGCAAGCCCTTCAAATAGAAGCAAGTGAAAGGACAAGTACCTTCCCCATGGCTGCTAACGTGTTGCCTGACAGCCATAGGGAAAGCGGGAAACCTTGAAATAGAAGCCATTGAAAGGGCTCGTAGCTCCTGGCCCCGCTGTTAGTGCATTGCCTGGGACCTGCTGGGAGAGGCACGAGCCTTTTCAATGGCTTCTATATAAAGAGCTTGTGCCTTCCCCGTGGCTGCCAGGCAACACGTTAGCAGCCACAGGACAGGTGTGAGTCCTTTAAATAGAAGCAGTTGAACGGGCTTCCACTTCCCCAGGTCCCAGGCAATGCATTGGGGGCGGGACAGGGAACTGCCACGTGGGCCAGATCCGGCCCGTTGACAGGCTCTTGCCCAGCCTTGTTTTAGCAGATACCAAAGTTCTGTTTTTCATCCACTAGTCAGCAATAATAGGACAGTCTGAAAGGTACCAATAAAACCAGTATCTGATTACACTAGAGGCCCAACTGAATCAGGGTTCCATTTTACTAGATGCAGGACACACAGTCCCTGCCCAGACACCTTAGAATCTAAATAGACATCATCATCTCCATTTCACAGAGGTGAAAGGAAGGCCTGGGGAAAGTAAGTGACTTGCCCAAGGTCACAGAGGAAATCCATGGCAGAGCCAGGAACTGAATTTAGATCTTCTGAGAACCACCAAGTGCCCTAACTACAAAGGCTGTCTAGGGGTATGTCTACACTACCCCGCTAGTTCGAACTAGCAGGGGAATGTATGCATATCGAACTTGCTAATGAAGCCCGGGAAATTCAAATCCCGGGCTTCATTAGCATAAAGCCGGCGCCGCCATTTTTAAAAGCCGGCTAGTGCGAACCCCGTGCCGCGCGGCTACACGCGGCACGGGCTAGATAGTTCGAACTACGTAGCCATTCCGAACTATCTGTACTCCTCATTCCACGTTCCACGAGGAGTACAGATAGTTCGGAATGGCTACGTAGTTCGAACTATCTAGCCCGTGCCGCGTGTAGCCGCGCGGCACGGGGTTCGCACTAGCCGGCTTTTAAAAATGGCGGCGCCGGCTTTATGCTAATGAAGCCCGGGAAATTCAAATCCCGGGCTTCATTAGCAAGTTCGGTATGCATACATTACCCCGCTAGTTCGAACTAGCGGGGTAGTGTAGACATACCCTAGGAAAATTATGTTTTCAAAACCCTCATTTTCAAGTACTTAATAACATAGTATCTTTTGCTTCCCCGATAAAAAATAAAAACTTCCAGTGCCATGACTACATAGAATTATAGAAGATTAGAGTTGGAAGTGAGAGACCTCAGGAGGTCATCTAGTCCAACCTCCTTCTCAGAGCAGGACCAACCTAAACTAAAATTAGATTTCAGACTAAACTTACACCTTACTAATATGCTTAACCTCTAAACTTAATATGCTAGATTTGTTCTGAGCAAGACACATTCTTCCGCTCTACTCTGCACTGGTTAGGCCTCAGTTGGAGTATTGTGTCCAGTTCTGGGCACCGCATTTCAAGAAAGTAGTGGAGAAATTGGAGAGGGTCTAGACAAGAGCAACAAGAATGATTAAAGGTCTAGAGAACATGAATTATGAAGGAAGGCTGAAAGAATTGGGTTTGTTTAGTTTAGAAAAGAGAAGACTGAGGGGGGGACATGAGAGCAGTTTTCAGGTATCTAAATGGGTGTCACAAGGAGGAGGGAGATAAATTGTTCTCCTTGGCCTCTGAAGATAGGAGAAGAAGCAATGGGCTTAAACTGCAGCAAGGGAGGTTTAGGTTGGACATAGGAAAAAGTTCCTAACTGTCATGGTAGTCAAACACTGGAATACATTGCCCAGGGAGGTTGTGGAATCCCCATCTCTGGAGATATTTAAGAGTAGGTTAGATAAATGTCTCTCAGAGATGGTCTAGACAGTATTTGGTCCTGCCATGAGAGCAGGGGACTAGACTCGATGACCTCTCGAGGTGCCTTCCAGTCCTAGTATTGATTCTATGATACAGTAGCACAGCAGTGCAATTGTAGCACTTCAGTGTAGACAAGGACTACATTGAGAGATTCTTCCATGGTTGTGGTTAACCCACCTCCTGGAGGCACTAGCTAGGCCCAAGGAAGAATTTCTCCCATTGACTTAGCACGGTCTACCCCAGGATTAGGTTGGTTTAGCTAATTCTGTCAGGGACGTGGATTTTTTCACATACTGAAGTTTTCAGTAAAGACCTGCCAATACAGAGATAATTAGGCCTTATCAAGGTACATCAGCAACTGGTTGCTCATGGTGGAAATGGGGGCAAATGGCAAGTACAGATAAGGGGAGTTTGGGGATCTGTCAACTGGACTGAAAGAGAAAACTCCCCTTATTTCAAAATAACAAGCCGAGTGTTCACACTACCAGGCCCGTTATTTCAAAATAATAACTCCTTCTTCCAATAAGGAATAACACTTATTTCAAAATAGTTATTTTGAAGTAGCGGTAGTGTGGACGCTCCAGTGCTGCTATTTTGAAATAACTACTCCGCAGAGTAATTCAAACTAATTACTCCCCAGTGCTTTCTGGGGCTCTAAATCAAAGTAGTGCATCCACATAAAAGAAGCCTGCCTCGGATTAATTTCGGCTTCTCCATAATGTGGACACAATATTTTGAAATTATTATTTTGGGAGTTATAAGTTGAAAATAAGATATTTTTAAATAATTTCCTAGTGTAGACATGTCCTAAGAGTTGTAAGGCAGCAAATTCATTAAATAGGTGATATCTAGACTGTTTTATCAGTCAGGTTTGAATGAACATAGTCAAGCAGAATCTGAATTGGAGAACTGATTTTTTCAGAGACAATATTAAGATATATCATTCAGCCAACAGGAGCATCTATAAAAATAAGCTCTCACCTGTCTGGCAAGTCACCATTTAACAGAAGATGAAACTAGCTCAAGCCTTTCTAAGTTTGCACAAAACCAAAACCTCTACAATCGTTAAAAAATAACTCCCTCCCCCAACTTACATGCAAGATTTAATTCTGTCAAGTTTGGTAGGTTCTTCAGTACTTGTCCAAAGACATCCACTGAGTGTAACAAAAAGTCTTTGATGTAACAAACGGTAAGAGTGTGGATGGTGGAGAGCTGATCCAGGAAACGTTCTGAAAAAAGGTTGTAACCAGTCTGCCTCAATGCCAAAGTGTGAAGCTGAAGCTTTGCAATGGGAGGTGACTCTAAACACAAGTGGGTGATTGAAAGAAGGGGAGGGTGAGTCCTCATTTTACTTACCAGAAATATTTATTTTCCAGTATTAAAGCACAATTTATGTGTAAGTCTTTATATTAGGTTCATAGTTAATGGTAGCACATAGTGAATAGGAAAGATGGAGAAAAATACACACTCACGCCAACTCACCTCCATCCCATACTAAGATTAATGATTTGGCTTAACTGCAACCTAATTTCTTCAAACAGGAAGATATCTGACAATGAGTTATCTAGAAAGTTTGAACAATAAACAAACCAATCGTCGCTTAATAGAAGGGGTGCGAAAAAGGTCAGCTATGGAAATTTCATAAAGGGTACATTTTTTAATTATTTTAAATTCCTAAGCTAAGGAACAAATTCAACTGATGATCCCCAGAGAGTTCTCTCTTTACACTCAGATTATGTGCTTTAAAACTGGAAGATAGACAGGATTTTTCCTATAAAACAAAGAAGTTGAATCTCTGCTTTAGATGTAAGACTGAATATATTATAAAGATGCTACAGTACTTATAAACACGTGTCAAGATTTTCAAAAAATGATTAGTTACGTGGGAAAGACAAGGTATGCAAAGTATTTTGGGACGGCGGGGGTCACTTTCAATGTTCCCGCTAATCTCTTCCATCATGTGGAATAAATTTTTATGTGCACCAGGGCATGTGCAAATGTGTTCCACCAATAGAAAGAAAAAAACTAGCTGTGGGCACTCTGCTAATCAGCTGGGCGAAATCTGAATCTCCCTACTGGCCACAAAAATGCACAGTTTACAGGGAATACTGGTTACTTTAAAGGGGCCTGACATTTGAGGACAAGTGCTCAGCTCTTTTTGAAAATCAGGACTCATTAAAGGTGTTTTCATTTGAAAGTCTTTGGCAAGAATATTCTACAACCTAATCATAGCCTAAAATATATATCTTATGTTTAGAGCCAAGGATTCCCAAAGGAGTCTAGCATCTAAATCCTATCAAAATTCAGGGGGAGAGGGACACCTAATTCCTTAAGTTCCCTTTTAAAAATTCCAGCCATACTTATGTGAAAAGTGATGTATATGTTCAGTTTAAAATACTCTAATAAGCTTTAGGAAACGTGTACAACAAATCAAAACTGTAATCTGAACCTCATCCATTAAAGCAAGTGGACACAGTTAAGAATATACCTTCACTCCCAGGACACTCTAAAGTACCCAGCATGTAATCCTTTGAGCAACAAAAGACACTTAGGCCCCAATCCTGGAAGCTCTTATGCATATACTTAACATTCTGCCCTGAGCAGTCGTGCTGTTTTCTGGTGGTAGCAAAGTTAAACATGTGCATCAGAGCTGGTAGGACTGGAACCATAATCTGAAATATGAATATAGCTATAGAAACAATGCTCACCTTCTGGTGAATAAGGGATGGGATGGCTATCTGGTAAACTGAGGCATAACAAAAGCTGCTCTTTATTCAGGATGTAAGAAAGTGACAGTTCTCTGAGTTTTGGTAAATGGAATAAAACATATTCTAGTACGTTCTCAGGAAGAGCCTTTTGCACAGTATGCAATGAGAGCACATGTAGGTTTCGTAAGCTAGCAATTCTGATCAATTCACTGCCACTTAAGGTTATGCCGCACAACAACAAGTGGATTAGGTGCTGAAAGTGCACAACTTCCCTGATTACACTTCTCTCCGATAACCCAGGGCATATTTTCAAGTGAAGTTTCTGTAGATGTGTGAGCAGCTGTAAACAATGCAGGATTTCCTCACTCCAGAGGGAATCCACAGTTACATCTAGCAAACCAGGCATAATCTTCAGCAGCTTTTGCCACTGCTTAAGCCTGATTTCTTTCACTTCTACAGAAGTTATCTTTCTCTTCCGAAGCACCTCCCAGAACTCAGCATTGAAAACGTTTATGCGTCGGAGGATGATGGTACTCTTTTGCCACAAAACAGGCTGATCAACCAGGTCCTTAAAGAGCTTGCATGTGGCACGGATCTTGTTTTTTTCTGCAGGAGGAAGGTACCTGATTATCTCAGTCAGCATTTCTTGAGGCAACTGCAGCACATGAGTAGCTTTCATTATTGTATTATTGGCTGGCATACTTTTCTCCTGCATACTTCCACTCTTTAAAAAAAAACAAAAAAAAAAAAAAACAATTAGTTACATAGCCCAGAAACGTATTATGTTCACATAAGCCCACTGACACAAAGCCTACAAGAGAAAGGAGTTGACTGAATGAGATGGCTTGACTGTAACCTACATTTATACCATACGTTAACACGTTTCATGACATGCATGAAAATTTATGTTTTATAGAACTATTGCACTTAATATCATACATGTGTTGCAAAAAATACATTAAGATTGCAAAGTCCAGTCCTGGGAAGTTAGGAAGTGACAGAATTAAAGTTGTGTGCACATAGTGATAGTCAGGGCTCGACAAATCCCTGACTAATGATTAAAGGTTTAGAGAACATGACCTATGAAGCCAGGCTTCATGAACTGGGCTTGTTTAGTTTGGAAAAAAGAAGATTAAGGGGGGACATGATAGCGGTTTTCAAATATCTAAAAGGGTGTCACAAGGAGGAAGGAGAAAATTTGTTCCTCTTGGTTACTGAGGACAGGACAAGGAGTAATGGGCTTAAAGTGCAGCAGGGGAGGTTTAGATTGGACATTAGGAAAAAATTCCTAACTGTCAGGGTGGTCAAATATTGGAATAAATTGCCAAGGGAGGTGGTGGAATCTCCCTCTCTGGAGATATTTAAGAACAGGTTAGATAGACATCTGTCAGGGATGGTGTAGACGGAGCTTGGTCCTGCCTTGAGGGCGGGGGGCTGGACTCGATGACCTCTCGAGGTCCCTTCCAGTCCTATTATTCTATGATTCTATGAAATCCGCTTATCTACTCGCCTATGGCGAGTAGATTTCAGCTGGTCACCGCATTCCGCGGCAGCGCGTGCATGCGCAGTGTGGTGCGGGGCTGGTGAGTGGGTTTTCGCCGCGGTCGTTGAGCCCCGGTGATAGTAGTGCATTGAATGCTGTATTAAAAATGTAAGCTGTATAAGGGCTTTCTGGTCCTGTGTGCAGGCTTGGGGCCTCTGAACGGAAGTGTGTGATTTGGATTTTCAGCAGTCTGCAAAGAGTCAGCCTCCAGCAAAGTAGGTTGAGTTGTGTCTCTCTGCCTTGGGGAGTAACCTGCATTGTCTCTCTCTGATTTTTATTCCTGTGTGTGAGAGTTCAAGATTCTAAAAATTAAAGCAGTGTTACACTGCCACCTTCCAGAAAAAGTATTTCGTATTTTGATGTAGGGATGTTAGCCACCAGGTAATAAAATATTCAGAGGGGTAGCCATGTTAGTCTGTACCTGAAAAAAAACCTTAAAAAACAGTGAATAGTCCTGTGGAACCTTAGAGACTAACAAAAAATGTAGATGGTATCATGAGCTTTGGCGTGCACGACCCACTTCTTCAGATGAATGGAGTTAAGAGGTCCAGCTATAAATAAATAGAGAAAGAGAGGTGATGGGGAGCTCCCAGCCCTGGCTATCAGAGGCAGGGAGGTGGCACCACGGACATGGTGCAAGGTGAACCAGCTTTTAAACGGGCTCTCCCCAGCACTGGCTCCTGCTCCCCACCCTCCCTTGCTGTCTCTATCAGAGACAGCAAGGGGAGGAAACACGAGTAGTTGACTTGATTAACCAATAAGCCTAGGCTTATTGGTTAGTTGACTAGTCCGGGATTCCCAACCGCACATGGACTGGCAGCGGGCCACAAATCCCAGCTTGCCAGGCCGTGGTACATTGCCTGGCCATGCCCCCAGCTTTTGATTAGCCCTGCCCAGTGGGGTTCCCTAGAAGGGAATTCCCTTCGCCCACTTCACCGTGCAGCAGGGTGAGTGGGGTGGCAGGCAGGGCTAGCGCTGATGCCAGGGCTGCTGTGAGGCTGTTCCTACTGGGGCAGCCTCACCGTGACCCTGGTTCCAGCTCCGACAGTCACTACACGGCTTATTGAGACAGACTTATTGAAAGTCTTTGGGTAAAGTTAAAAAAGGTAAAAAAGAGCAAGGATGATTCATTGTAGGAGTCTACTACAGACCACTAAACTAGGAAGAAGAGGTGGATGAGGTTTTTTAAAAAACAACTAACAGAACCATCCAATACTCAGGCCTTGGTTGTGATGGGGAACTTCAATTACCCAGACTTAAATCTTATGTTCCTACAGTGTATAATAAAATTGGTTTAAATTGGTTTTGTATCTTACATTATTTTAGGTCTTGATCCTGCAAGATGCTTTATACTGAGTGATTCCAACACACTAACAGCAAGGCTCATGGATGCTCAGCACTGTGTGTTACTTGCCTCTGTGCAATGTATAGCAATGATACAAACAGCTCCTTTGTTTGGGATTTTTTCAGAATTAATTTATTATTTCCCATTCTGATATTTACAAATATTTAGGAAACATTTAAAATAAACCATCCAAAGTCTGCAGGTATATTTAACTATCGTCATCCAAAAATCTCAAACCTTAGTCTTACAATCTGCCCTAAGTAAGGGGGCTTATGCAGGAACAGATTAGAGAATGGATTTAGAGTCACTTTTTCCCCCTTTGTCTAAGGAGGCAAATCACTTCACTTCTTTTCGTGGAACAGTTTACCCAACCCTGTGTGTGGGGAGGGGAGGTTAAGCAGTGCCATGCAAGGAGCTAATGTGGGTCTTGGTCCAGCTATTCCTGCCCAGCTTTGACATTTTCACTCTTTATAAACATTCAATTAAGCCGTTAGAAACTCAGTGTTATGGTTATTTTATATCCATTCTATAGATAGTCAAAACTGAACCACAGAATGGTTATATAACCAGGAGCGGCCTGAGGTGGACTGCGGCAGCTAGCACCCCAGGAGGAATGCATGATCGGCGCCCCCGCCTGCATGGCCATCAATCAAGTGACATCATCATCGGGTGCCCCGGGCACCCCGTTGAAGGTGGAGCCCTAGGAGACGACTGAGTCAGCCTATAATCACGGGCCGCCCCTGTATGTAACCTAACTGAAATTACTCAGTGGCATAGCTGGGTACAGAATGAAAAAGTCCTAACTCACAATTCTCTGCTTTGACTGATAGACAACACTGATGATTACGGGTATGACCACACTACAGCGTTTTTCCAGAAAGCAGCCATTTTTCTGGAAAATCTTCACTTACGTCACAAGGCTACTGCGTTAATTCAAAAGAAAGTCAAAAGAACGGAGGGGTTTTTCTGACAGCAGTAAACCTCTTTCTATGAGGAAGAATCCTTTTTCCAAAAGAACTCTTTCAGGAGCACGGCGAGTGATTTCACCAGGACGCCTGCGGAGCAGTGAGCGACGAGCACGGCGAGTGATTTCACCAGGACGCTGCAACAATGGAGAAACGCTTTCAGGGCAAATGGAGCCCATCAATGCTTGCAGACTATTGCTGGACAGTGACAAGACATGCTCCATTTAATGAATACAAGAGACAAGCCAAGAAGCGCCGAGTAGACACTGAATAGGACTAAACTATGTACATAATAAGTTTTTTACTTTTTGTTTCATAATAAATGTTATTTATATAATCCTTTTGCTGATTTTTAAAGTGTTACATAAACAGGACAGGTGAAGTATCATCAAGTAAAGCAACCATAAACACAGGAAAAGACCTAGGTTTACAATTTATGATTAAAACTCTACTATCTACACAATATACATAAGCAGAAAATGTAAAAACTTAAATATCTTGGAAACAGTAGCCAATCAGTTATTTTAATTGTCATATTTGAATTCAGCACATCAAAATATAATAAATAGCACATTTTATCTCTGAAGGAGACGACTTCTAAAAAATTGTAGACCAGTGTTATCGATCAAGTTCTTGGAATGTATTGGAAACAATTACTTATTTCAGAAGGCAGAGAAAACTACTGTGGGGAGGGGAGATTTGATTTTGACAAATTGGGAGGAACTACTTGAGAATTTGAAATGGAAGGTAGCTTGGTGACCGTGATCATGAAATAGTAGAGTTCATGATTCTAAGGAGTGGTAGGAGGAAAAAGAGCAAAATAAAGATAATGAATTTCAAGAAGACAGACATTAGTAAACTCAGGGCGTTGGCAGGTAAGATTCCATAGGCAGCAAGACTAAGAGGCAGAACAACTGAAGACAGCTGGAAGTTTTCCAGAGACATTATTAAGGGCAAACTATTCCACTGCATAGGAATGATAGGAAGTATGGCAAGAGACCACATTGACTTAACCAGGATATCTTCAAAAGATCTAAAAAACCTACAAAAAGGAAGTGGAAACTAGGTCAATGTACAAAGGATGAATATCAATAAATAAAACAAGTGTGTAGGGACAAAATTAGAAAGGCCAAGGCACAAAACAAGATCAAACTAGCTAGAGACATAAAGAATAACAAGAAAATATTCCACAAATACTGTACATTAGAAGCAAGAAGAAGACCAAGGATGGGGAGGGCAATTAATGAAGAGGGAGAAAAACAATTACAGAAAATGTGAGAATAGCAGAGGTGCTTAATGATTTCTTTGTTCTGGTTTTCACCACAAACGTTGGTGGTGACTGGATATCTAACATTAAATAGCAGTAAAAATGTGATAAGATCAGAAGTTAAAATAGAGAAAGAACAAATTAAAAATTACTTACACTAATGAGATGTCTTCAAGTCACCAGGGCCTGATCAAATGCATCCTAGCATACTTAAGGAGCTGACTGAGGAAATATCTGAGCCATTAGCTATTATCTTAGAAAGCCGTGGGAGATGGGAGAGATTCCAGAAGACTGGAAAAGGGCAAATATAGTGTCCCATATTCCATCTATATAAAGGGAAATAAGGACAATCCAGAGAATTACAGACCAGTCAGTTTAACTTCTACACCAAGAAAAACAATGGAGCAAGTAATTAAGGAATCTTTTCACAAACATCTGGAAGCTAATAAGGTGATAAGAAATAATCAGCATTGATTTGTCCAAGAACAAATGGTGTCAAATCTAACTGATAGATTTATTTGACAGGGTAACAAACTTTGTGGATAGGGGTGAAGACTTCAGTAAGGCTTTTGATACAGTCTTTCATGACCTTTTCACTAATAAACTAGAGAAATACAATCTACATCAAACTATTACAAGGTGGTGCATACTGATTGGATAATCCTTCCCAGGGAATAGCTTTCAATGGTTCAGTCATGCTGGAAGGATATAATGAGTGGGAGTCCACATGAATCAGTTCTGGGTCCAATTCTATTCAATAATTTCACTGATTATTTAAGTAATGGCACAGAAAGGACACTTTTAAAGTTTGCAGATGATACCAAGTGGGAGGGATGGCAAGTGCTTTGGAGGATAGGATTATAAATCCAAATGATTTGGAGAAATTAGAGAAATGGTCTAAGGTAAACAGAATGAAATTCAATAAGGATAAATGCAAAATACTCCATTGAGGAAGGAACAATCAGTTGTACACATACAAAAAGGGAAGGAGCACTGTGGAAAGGGATCTGGGGTCATAGTGAACCACAAGCTAAAAATGTCAACATTGTGACACCGCTGGAAGACAAACAATCCCCTACCCCCAACACACACCCAAACTAATCATTCTGTGATGTATTACTAGGTATATTGTAAGCAAGAAATGAAAAGTAATTCTTCTGCGCTACTCTGCGCTGATTAGGCTTTAAATGGAGTATCATGTCCAGCTCTTGGTACCACATTTCAGAAAAGTTGTGGAGAAATTACAAGAAGCCCAGAGAAGAGTAATCATTTTTGCTGACAGTTTAGAAACATGACCTATGAGGGAAGATTGAAAGAACTGGGTTTGTTTAGTCTGAATAAAAGACTGAGAGGGAATATTAAGCCAATTTTCAAGCACCAAAAAAGGTTGTTACAAGGAGGAAGGTGAAAAATTATTCTCCTTCACTCTGAAGATAGGAGAAGAAGCAATGGGCTTAAATTGCAGCAAGGGAGGTTTAGCTTGGGCATTTGTAAAAACTTCCTGTCAGAGTGGTTAAACACTGGAACAAATTGCTTAAGGAGATTGTGGAATCTCCATCTTTGGAAGTTTGTAAAAGCAGGGTAGACAGACATTAATGAGGGATAGTCAAGATGGTGGTCATCCCTACCATGGATGAACTCTCAAAGTCCCTTCCATCCCTATGATTTAGTCCATATGAACACCTAGAACAATTCTCATTTCTCCAGCCAGCACTGTCCTCCTCTAGCTAAGCAGCCACAGGTGCACTGGAAGTTGGGCCCCAGGTATCTGAAGTCAGACACTCAGAAAGTGAGTGGTACTCTGTGAAAGTTATGGTTTCAGTAATGTGCCTTGCACCACACATATAATCTGTGTTTTAGGCAAGGTTAGAACAGATTTCTTGCATGTAGCAATGAACCAACCACATTATCATCTCTTCTCTTTCTATAGCTCCCTAGCCAAAAGTCCTACAGCCAACAACTTTATTCACAGCCAAGATTCATTCAAGTAAACCAAAAACACAAGGCCCTGCCAAGGAAGAAATGGGAAGACAAAAAAAAAAAAAGTGAGAGATTAGAAACTTAATGTGTCTAATCAATTCGCAGCATGAATCAAAGAGTAATTAAAGATTTAAGTGGATTTAATGTCATTTCTAGTGTTTTAAAGCCAAAGTATGGATTACTAAATAATTATAAACGAAATTTGATTTCTTCTGCAAAGGCAAAAGAAGGGTAAGATTTATTCAGAGATCTAAATATACCCAGAATGGAATCGCAAATTCTAAAAGTAAGAGCCTTGCAGAGCAGGATAAAAATTGGTACTGCTTCTGAAGCAATGGTTGCACTTTTTATAAAAATGGAGCAAAGAAATGTGATAATGGAAAATTATAGAGTCGTTAACTAGGTAGATATGTAGAAAAGACAAATCTAATTATACTACTGCCATATGAAAATAGCTCCAGAAGGGAGACTAACAATTAATGACAAATTTCCAAGATTCTTCATATGTAATAAATCTCTATAGGAATAAAAATGCAAATCCTCAAGACCTGAATTACTATTTTTTAATTAAAATGAATCTGTTCTGGTTAAATGAGATGCACTCAATGGTTTTTAATTTTAAGAGGCTCCCTGGGCCTAGCCCAAATCCTCCCCATGGTACCTTATTTCAAGTGCACAAGAAACTGGCATTCTTCCTTGATATTACAGATAATCTACTGCAGAAGGGATAAAATAAGCAACAATAAATTAAGTTTTAGGAGGTTCCCTAAGCTGAAACAGCATGTAAAAGGCTGGAATGCAAGAGGATGGCAATAACTACGGCTATAGACGGGTGCCAGTCCTCAACCACACAATACATGTATCTTTGTACACATTATGAAAATTCAATTCCTTTATTTCTATTCCCCCATTATAGCCCCAAGATTTCTTATCATTATACCAAGACCACAATTATATTTTATATCTGGGCATGTAAATAGTAAAAGTGCCCTGTCCCTTGCAGGTCCTGTATTGATTTTCCACCAACTTCCGGTGTTTTCTCTCTGTATCTAGTTCTACCTCTTTTAATTTTACCACCTAATGCTTGGTTTCTTCTAATAGTACCTTACCAGATGGCCAACTTAAGTGACTAACAATGTTAGCAGCACAGGTAGGTGAAGCCAATAGCAGAATGCAAAGGTTTGCTGAAGAAAACAGTGCAAGGGACTTGTGAGCACTTCCCTTTCATTTTTTCCACAACCAATCCTCTATCCTCCACCACATGTGCAAATAACGTGTTGCTTCCCCTCCTACACATACAATATCCTCTCACCCCACAGACAGGTTGGTCCCCTGCAGTTATTTATCTCTGCTGGGGTGAGAATTTCTCTCTTCAGATTAGAGGAGAGGGGAAGCAGCATCCCTATCTGATGATCTTAGCAAAGAACAGGATCCAGAAAGCCACTCCCAGATGCCTTGAGTTTGTGAAGGAAGTTTTTAATCAAAATGGAGGTTTTCATAAAAAAAAAAAAACTCTCAACAAGCTGTTACCAGCTTCCTCCCTGAAGAGACTGAGCTTGGACTCTGGGTGACAGTAATTATATATTTTCAATTTCCTTGGCTTAAGATTTTATATATGTCCACTGGGCCTAATGAGTGTTGTTATCCACTCATATTTTTGAATAGTTACACAGTTGTTTGCCTCTCTGAATTTTAAAGCTCAACTCCCAAAACCTACTTCCTGATTTCACTTCTTTTTTATTTTGTACCTTCTTGTTATCTTTGAGCCAGCACATCTGGATAACAGTTTTGTTAGTGTCTCCATACACTTGTCTTTCTCCTTTGTCCTTTTGTAGCATCCTGACAGAATTTGTTTGGCATTTAAACCCAGGCACTACACAATTTACAAACCTACTGCAGTCATTGGCAGCAAAAGGGCAGCCTTGCCACCTGATGGATATAAAGTATTTTGCCCAAGTATTAGTGAGATAAATAATCACCTAAGAAGGAAAAGATGTCTTAAACTAAAGAAGGACTTTGCCTGTCTTGATGAAATACAAATCAAACTGAGTATGAACTTTTAAAAAAATTCTTGAGACATTTGAAGAACAAAAGCAGAGATACCCCTTGATAAACAACACTGGGATTATGTAAACACATGCACTGTAAGTAACTGGGGAGTAAAGAGGTTCAGTCACATAAAATGCTTGAGGGGGAAGACAGAATACTTTTTCTCGCTCAGCTATTTGACATGGGAAGTAAAATCCTGTTACTGTTTGTGGTATTAGCAAATACACATGAAACTACCAGGGTTCAGAAATGGGCCAAATTCCACAACATGAATTTTGAGTAGTAGGTGGTGGGGGAGGAGAGTTAATAACACTTTCTTTTCTAACAGGCTCCTGCAGAACTGCCAGCTGAGGATCCACAAGCAAAATGCTCAAAAGAACAAACTTAAGACCGGCCTATGGGTTGTCACATCACAGGTCCATCTAGCCCCGTGTCTTCTCCTCCAACAATGGCCCATGTCAGATGCCCCCGAGGTAAGGAACAGAACAGGGAATTACCAAGTATCCCTCTGCTCTCACCCATTCCCATTCTGAGAGACAGAGGCTGCAGGCACCATTGCTGCCCATCCTTGGGCTTGGTCCTGCCTGGAGCAGGGGGCTGGACTTGACCTTCTGAGGTCTCTGAGCCTAGCTAACAGCCACTGATGGACCTGACCTCGTGCACTGAGGTCACCTTCCTGCCCTGGAGTCTATCAGCTCTTTCCCCAGCCCTGTTAAAGTCCTGGTCTTCACAACATCCTCCGGCGAGGAGTTCCACAGGTTGGCTGTGCCGGTTTTCAACCTGCTGTCTGCCAGGGTCGTTCCACGTCCTACCACTGACCGGCCCTTTCGCAGCTCCCGGTGTCTGGGGCTCCCGCTCCCCGGGGAAGGGGGGTTTGCCCAGCCCGCGCGGGGCGCTGCGCGTTTGGGGCGGCGTCCCCTCCCCCACCCGGCCTCGTGCCTCTCCTCAGACACAC